CACACTTCCCCAGAAATCTCTGTATTTAAAAGGAGCATTGAAGATAAAATCATACTTCTAACATCAGGAAGCATCATGAATAATAGAAAATGAAAAACTATTGAAAATAAGATCTTTTAGTTTATAGAATTGTCAAAAAATTTTAAAAACACGTGAACGCTTTTTTTAAATTAATTTTTATTGGAGTAGAGTTGCTTTACGATGTTGTGTTAGTTTCTGCTGTACAGCAAAGTGAATCAGCTGTATGTATACATACATCCCCTCTTTTATAGATCTCCTTCCCATGTAGGTCACCACAGAGCACTGAGTAGAGTTCCCTGTGCTATACGGTAGGTTCTCATTAGTTATCTATTTTATACATAGTAGTGAATATATGTCAATCCCAATCTCCCAATTCATCCCACTTCCCCTTCCCCTCTTGGAAACCATAAGTTTGTTCTTTACTTCTGTGACTCTATTTCTGCTTTGCAAATAAGTTCATCTCTACCATTTTTCTACATTCCACATATAAGTAATATTATATGATATTTGTTTTTCTCTTTCTGACTTACTTCACTCTGTATGACAGTCTCTAGGTCCATCCACGTCTCTGCAAATGGCACTATTTCGTTCCTTTTATGGCTGAGTAATATTCCGTTGTATATATGTACCACATCTTCTTTATCCATTCTTCTGTCGATGGACATTTAGGCTGCTTCCATGACCTGGCTATCGTAAATAGTGCTGCAGTGAACATAGGGGTGCATGCATCCTTTCGAATTATGGTTTTCTCTGGATATATGCCCAGGGTCATATGGTAGCTCTATTTTTAGTTTTTTAAGGAACCTCCGTACTGTTCTCCACAGTGGTTACACCAATTTACATTCCCACCAACTGTATAGGAGGGTTCCCTTTTCTCCACACCCTCTCCAGCATTTATTGTTTGTAGAATTTTTGATGATGGCCATTCTGACTGGTGTGAGGTGATACCTCATTGCAGTTTGTTGCTTTTTTTTTAAACAACATCACCGCGACAAACTTTTAACTCTTTTTTTTTCTTTTAATAAATTTATTTATTTATTGGCTGAGTTGGGTCTTCGTTGCTGTGCATGCAGGCTTTCTCTAGTTGCGGAGAGTGGGGGCTACTCTTCGTTGCGGGGCGTGGGCTTCTCCTTGCAGTGGCTCTAGGCGTGCGGGCTTCAGCAGTGTGGCTTGTGGGCTCTAGAGCGCAGGCTCAGTAGTTGTGGCGCACGGGCTTAGTTGCTCCACAGCATGTGGGATCTTCCTGGACCAGGGCTCGAACCCGTGTCCCCTGCATTGGCAGGCGGATTCTTAACCACTGTGCCACCAGGGAAGCCTCATTGTAGTTTTGATTTGCATTTCTCTAATAATTAGTGATGCTGAGCGTCTCTTCCTGTGTCTGTTGGCCACCTGTATGTCTTCTTTGGAGAAATGTCTATTTAGGTCTTCCACCCATTTTTTGATTGGGTAAAAGACACATGAACACTTGATGCTGGTGGTGGTGTGGTGAAATCGACACTGTTAACACGTTGCTGGTGAGGGGGGAGCTGGTATAAACCTTTAGACAAGCAACTTGAAAAATACCCTTTAAAATGTGCTGGTCTTCCACCTGGACTTTTAGAAAGATATCCTCAAGAAATGATAAATAAAAGTAGACAGAAAACTTAGTGCAAGACAGATAATTAACTGAACTATGAATCTGTGTTTTCTCCCTTGTAGTTTTCCTCTCCGTGTCCCAGATTTGTAGCCAGACCTATTTCTACTCCTTAGTCCCAGGGGCACTTTTAGAACCCAGCCAAAAGCTGCTTAAAGACAACATCTTCTTCTGCCTTTCGTGAAAAAGGAAAATCAGGAAAGCAAACATGCGAGCAGTCTCAAGAAAGGGTGGGAGGAGAGCGGTGAGAAGGCAGGAAGAAGGGGCCCTACGTTCCAGAGGTGGGACCTGGGTACCCTCCACAGCAGCACCCCAGGACGTGGCATGATCTCCCAAAGCTCCCTGTCAGGGAAAGTGGAGTCATAGCCACTCCCCAGGGTCCCGAGCGCCCAACCTGGCACTTAGCAGCAGCCACTGGATACCAAGGAACGTGCCCTCGGCCAGGGGGTGGGGGCGATGTGGGGGGCGGGTATATCTGGGGCATCCTCGGTGGTGCCTGGAAGACTGTCCAAACCCCAGGGCCTCTGCACGGCCCCAGGAGACAGGGAGTTCTGAAAATGTCTGAGGTTGGTTTTCCAGGCCAGGGGTCCAGTGGAATTTAAAGGAAACTTTGAATGTGACATTCTCACATATCTACATTCTCGAGAAAAAAGGTTTTTAAAGGCAATGGAGTACAGAGTGATAATCTTGTTTTGATTTCTTTTTTAGCTAGTCATTAACTATTTTCCATAGGAAGATTCCAAAGTCCCTGCCCTGTGTGTCCTGAACTCCGGGCACATATGTCTATGCTCGTACAGACCCTGCTGGGAGGGTCACTCTCTGTATTTAGTGCTTACTGTTCTTCGAGGTTCTTGGGCCCCGGAGACTCATCAGAACACTGTCTTGTTTAGCTCCCTCTCCCCAGGACCTTGCACGAGTCCTGGCAAACACTCAGGGGATGAATGAAGGAAGGATCGAGTACACGAATGAATGAACGAATGAATGGATGAACTCACAGGTGTCTGGTGTCTGAGATAAAGGGCCCGGTGAGGCCTGCCCCTGTCGTTCTCACACAGCTGCTGCTGGCAGCCCTAAGGGCTGTGCCTTCGGCCAATGGAATAAACTGCAAACACACATTTGGGAGTGTAAACAGCCCTCCTCCGGGCCAGGGCCGGCTGGCAGCCTCGCGGGTAGCTTGCACAACCCTGTGGGCTGCTGTGATTCTCATTTTTGGGGCATGGAGTCATCTCTGCCGTGGGCCTCTCCCTCCTTGCCCTGGATTGTCTCTTGGCAACATAAAAGGAGCTGCGTGCCTGTTGGCAGTGGGAAGAAGTTCAGACCCCCAGCCCCTCCCAGAAGCCCGTCCTGATTTCCTAGATCTGCCCGAGGACCCGGAGAGGTAGGAGCTGAAAGGGAACCCTGAGATGACCCAGCCCCGCCCCCTCCCCTTTCCAGATGAAGGACCCTAGGACTTGAGAGGTGGGGACGCTGAGCCCGCTGCCAGGGTGGGCAGGCTTGGCAGGAGCCGAGTGTCCTGGGACGGCAGCTGCTTTCGGAACCAGACAAACAGGGCTGTAAATTCCTTCCTGCCCAGCCACCGTCCAGCCGTGTGAACTTGGATCAGGGCCGTGTCCTTCCTGAGCCCCAGTCCTTCGGTCTGCATTGCGCTGCACGCAAGGTTGACACGGAGATTTAAAAAGACGCTGTCCGTAAAGCGTCAGCACAGCGCCTGGTCCAGACGAGGCCTCCCTTCTCCGCGCTTTCTTTCTCAGCGCGAGGTGCCGGGGCGCCGTTCTGAGCCCTCCACTGCAGGGAGCGTCCCCTCCGTGCTGGACCAGGCGTGCTCTGATTGCCTCTGAGCTTCCCACGTATCTGCCTACTTCCTCTCACGCTTTTTCTGTCCTCACACACCTCTCGGTCTTGCCAAATTTGTTCAGATTTCCCTTCCTCCCTCCCTTCCCGCAAACCTTCCCAGGCCCCTGCTGCATGCCAGACACCCGCTGGGCAGAGATGCTCGTGGCCAGCGCCCGCCCTTACAGACCTCGTCCACTGCTGAGAGGCCATGCGGGCCATGACGGGAGAGGAAAGCCGAGGGGCAGAGGCAGTGCTATGTGTCCATGAAATCCTGGGTCCTAGCTCTGGTTTCCGGAACTCCCTGGCGGGCAGAACAACAGCCCCTCAAAGACAGCCACGTCCTAATGCCCCGAATCTGTGAATGTTGCCTTATGGGACAAAAGCATGTGACTGAGTTAAGGATTCTGAGACGGGGAGATCATCCTGTATTTTCCATGTGGACACAAGGGGCCTTATAAGAGAGAGGAAGGAGGTCAGAGAGGAGAGGATATTTGCTGGCTTTGAAGATAGAATGAAGGGGCCACGAGCATGTAGGTGCCCCCAGAGCCTTCAGCAGGACCCAGCCCTGCTGACACCTTGATTTCAGCCCCTCAGACTCATGTCAGACGTCTAAGCTCCAGAACTGTAAGAGAATAAATGTGTGCTATTTTAAGCCACTAACTTTGTGTTAACTTGTTACCACAGCAATAGGAAACGAATACATACACAGGAGACCCTGTCCTCCCTGTAGTTAGGTGGCCATGTGACTCTAATCCCGGCCAATGCAACGTGAGTTCAGGTGACGCCCCTCTTTACCCTGAGGCTCGACCCTCTGGCTTCCCTCTTCCCCCGGCGCCAGCTGTTGAGGATATTACAGCCGGTCACAGTACAAAAACGGTGATGCTGCTGGCAGCCTGGGTCCCCGAGCGGACGCCCAGCTGACTGTCCAAACCTGTCAGGACTAGGGGTTATTCATTACAGCAACAAACTCAGGCTTTCCTTACCCTGGGAGCTCTGATGAGGCTCCTACTTCCCAGGGGAGGTGACATGACGCCTCAAGAAGACTCCAGGCAAAGGCAACAGTGCCGACAGGGGCCTGGGGGATGGGTGGCGGCCGGCTGCAGAGCTTGGGGGCGCCGGGCACAGGAGACTCTCAGGCCAGGAGGGTGGTGTGTGAGCACGGATCTGGGTGAACGCAGAGCCTTTTAAAGGCACCAGTGCTGGAACAGCTCTGGACACGGTGGTAGCTCGGAACGTGAGGCTCAGCGCCCCGTGGCAGCCTTCAGAGCTGGGTGATGATTCGTTACACTGTGCCCTCCCCAGAGGTGACTGGCTGCTGTGTGCGTCTGGCTCCTTCTCCAGGGCCGGCGTGGGGCATCCCGTCTGTCCCTCCACCGGTCAGGTTTGCATGATGTAGTTACTGCCCTCGTTACTCACTATTTTGTTACCTGCAATGCATGTAATTCCTGTAATAACGAGCACTCTAGGGCATAGATCTCATCACTCGTGTTCCATGACTTTATCGCAGGTTACAAAGGAGCTGCCCCGGACAGATGACGCGGCCTCTTGAGCCAGGCCCGCATGCCCGAGCTGCTCTCCCCTGCGGGGCAGTGTGTGGTCACAGGCAAACGTGTTTTCTTGAACGCTTACAGCAGCTGTGAAGGTAATCTTTTGTTTTCTTGGCCCATCTCTGGGATGCTGGAGGGCTGCTGTGCCCCCAACTGGTGTGATGCCCTAGACCTGAGACAGGTGCCTGCTGTACAGAGTCCACTACAGGCCAGGGCGTGGCTGAGGCCTTTCAAGGCTCTTCTCTCTTTTTTTCTAAATTCTTTTTCATATTCTTTTCCATGATGGTTTATCACAGGTAGTGAATGAAGTTCCCTGTGCTCTACGGTAGGACCTTGTTGTTTATCCGTTCTATATATACTAGTCTGCATCTGCTGACCCCAAACTCCCAATCCGTCCCTCCCCCACCCAACTCCCCCTTGGCAACCACCAGTCTGTTCTCTATGTCTGTGAGTCTGTTTCTGTTTCGTAGGTAAGTTCATTTGTCATTTTTTAGATTCCACATATAAGTGATACCATATGACATTTGTCTTTCTCTGTCTGACTTACTTCACTCTGTATAATGATCTCTGGGTCCATCCATGTTGCTGCAAATGGCATTATTTCATTCTTTTTTATGGCTGAGTAATATTCCATTGTGTATATGGACCACATCTTCTTTATCCATTCATCTGTTGATGGACATTTAGGTTGCTTCCACGTCTTGGCTGTTGTGAATAGTGCTGCTATGAACATAGGGGTGCATGTATCTTTTTGAATTACAGTTTTCTCCAGATATATGCCCAGGAGTGGGATTGCTCGATCATATGGCAGCTCTATTTTTATAGTTTTTTGAGGAACCTCTGTGCTGTTTTCCATACTGGCTGCTCCAGGCTCTTGTCTCAAAGCAGCCCCCGGTCCCCCGGTCTTCCTACGGGGAGATGGCGGCTTCCAGAGACCAGAGGAGCTGCCCGTCCCACCGTCCACCCAGCCAGGCCTGACTCCAAAGCCCAGACTTTCTTTGCTTTCATGCCGCCTTGCACCTTCCTTACACGCCTGCCTCTCAGTTTTCCCATCCCTCCTCTCCCCACGCAGCCTTACAGGGCCCTTCAGGATCAAATGAGACGATCTTGAAGTGTTGGTCACGCAGGCAAGCTTCAGGAAGATTACTCATTCTTCTTTGTTTTTTGCATAACTTTTGCGTCTTTCGTGAATGGCTGTGAGAGTCTCCCCTCCCCCCTCCTCCCCTGCCCCCAGCCCGCTCAGCGCAGGGCTGGTGAGAACAGATGTCAGAGCCTGGGTGGGGAGAATGGTCCAGGGGCTTGGTGGAACTTGTCTCCCGCCCACCCAGCACACACAGTGCCCTTGCAAAACACGATCCCCCATCTGGCAGAGGGCAGTGTTTGCCCTGGGATAGGACCTTGCAGCCCTGTGCCAGGCCCTGTTTGTTCTGGCATGAGCCGTGGTGATGCCCAAGCCCTCCAAGTGTGTTGAACTTCCTGGATTTCTTATCGTGCCGCTGGCCCCGCTGGGGAGCAGGTGAGACGCTGCTATGTGCCCAAGAGAAGATATTAAGAAGTTCCACAAACACCACTCCGGCCCCCGCAGCTCCGAAGGGGCGAGGCCGCGGGAGCAGCTCAGATACACAGGGAAAGCCTGCCCCCTCCTGCACCGGGCCTGAGCACCCCCTTTCCCGTCGCCGCGTTCCCGCTCCCCAATCCTCTGCTCTGGTCAGGCTGGTCTCCTCGCTTTTTCCAGAGCAGATCCTGCCCTGTCCGGCCTGCACACCTTTGCCTGGGCCTGCCCACCATCTGGAATCTCCTTCCCAACCGGCTGCCCCATTGTTGAAATCCTACTTGTTGGGTAGAAGGAACGAATGGCTGGATGGTTTGAGGGTGGGCCTGGGTAAGGACAGTCCGTGTCCCGCACTCCTTGTCTGTCCAGCTCCCTCCCCTAGGTGCCCTGAGCCTCAGGGGCTCATCAGGATGTCAGGGTGAACCCCCAGAGAGCTTGTCTCTGTCCCATCAGGCTGGCGTGGGGCGTGGGGCGGGGCGGTCTTCAATTCTCAGGTGTCAATCAGGGTCAAGGCCAACTCGCAGCCTTCTAGCTCCTGAACCTCCGGAGGCAGCTCCAGCTTCCTGGGCCTGAGTACCACGAACGTAAGGGCAGTGCCTTCCTGAGCGGGACCTCCGCTCGCCAGGCCCTCCTGTCTCTGGGGCCGGGGCAGGAGTGGCAGCTGCCACCGGGTAGTGACCCCAGGGCCGCCCTAGTGTCCCCTCGTGAGACCCCCTCGTCTGCCACGCTCCGTAAACTCCCATCAGTTCTTCTGCTGCCGCGGCTCCCACAGCGTGTGGGCAAGACCCCGGGGGCAGTGCCGCCTTCTAACTGCCTCTGGTGGCGGCTGGCCAGGCTGTCGATAGACACAGTGGCCCCTGGTACCCGAGGAAGGGGTCCCCTGAGCCAGGGACATTCTGCCGGGGGAGGGGTGGGGCGCCGGGGGCAGTGTCCCCGCAATGGGAACGTGGCTGAGGAAGGGATTTCCGCCTTCAGGAGGAGCTGGCCTGCGTGCAGCAGAGGTTTCCAGAGAGGAAGCGCTGGCCCATGAGTCAGGGGTATGGCCAGAGGCCCCGGGGGTGCTTCGGGGGGTTAGTCATCCGGGCGAGCGGCAGACAGGCACCCATCGAGAGGGCTGTTCCACCCCCGCACTTGAGATGGGAAAACAGCGGTGCCCAGGGTGCATGAGTCACTTCCTCCCTGGGACACACCCCCTCCGTGGGAGGGGCGCCAGCTCCTGCTAGCACTGGGGGCCGTGCGTCTCCACGGGGCTGTGCAGTTGGGCTTCCCTGAATCGCTCACATCACCTCACTGGAGCCCACGGGGCACCTGGGGCTCCGTGACATCAGGCTGAGTACGGGATGCCGCCACCAAAAACAGATGTGAAGCAAGAATAAAGTTATTTGGGTTCACTTTAAAAGTAAACTAGGATCTTTAGAGAAAATTGAGATAAAATAGTGAAATAAAGGAAAGAGAAATAATTGACCCAGAGACAACCTCTTCTGCCCAGCCCTCCATACGCGTGTATTTGACGTTTCTCTGTGGCCGCTGTCATCGCCACCTTGACCGTGTTCCCAGCGCCCCCAAGCTTCCCCGCATCTTTCCTTTACAGGCTCCAGCCTTTGGAGGCAGGCAGTGTAGCTTCCTTTTATAGATGGATAAGCGGGAGCTTTAAGAGGTTGACAAACCCAGGCCCACACGTAGTAAGAAAAAGGCAAAGAAGGGGTTAAGCTCGAAATCAATCTGAGCACCGAGTCCAAGCTCTTCATTTGCTCTGTAGTCACCACTGGGTTCCAGCTCTCGGACCTAACACCTCACCAGAAGTGCCTCCCCCTCAGATGAGAAATTCAGTGCAAACACCAGGTTTGCTACCTGCACATTATTCCAGGCGGTGGCCATTCCACAACGGTCACCGTCTCCTGGGGCTGGACCCCTGCTATTTCTAATTTCTCACCGTTATTCTGCGAAGAATTGCTTTGGGCCATTCCCTGGGGCAGTGCTCACAGGGGTGTTGTGAGGTCAGAGGGTGTGGGGACCCTTTGATAAGCTCCTGGAAGCACCGCCCCATGTGGGCGTTCCATTTCACCTGCTGCGGCTGAGCGGCCCGGCCCTGCCGGGAGAGATGAGAAGGCTGCTGCTTCAGAGGCCCCTAGCCCAGCATGGAGCCCCCAGGCTCAGACTCACCAGGAGGCTGAACGCACTGCTGAGCTTTCCCTGGGGGGCAGGTGTCGGGCCCTCTATCACACCTCTGGCCTGTTTAAAGGTGAGAAAACTGAGGCTCAGAGAGGCAAAGTCACTGACCCGAGGTCACACAGCTGGGGCCAGAACCCACAGAACACAGCATCTCTCGTAGGGTTTGCAGAGCGCCTAGCTCTAACTCTTCAGAAGTTCTAGTTAACTTTCCTGGAAGGCTCAAGGTCCCCGAGCTCCTCTTATTTCCTGCAGCATCTTGGGGAGACTGTCACAGAGGCCAGGTTTTGGCTTGGTCCCCGCCTCCTGCCCGCCTCCCTCTGAACTATATTTTAGACTGCCTGCTTGCCCCCATCACCTCTGCCTGGGATGCTGCCGTAGCCTCGGATGACTGACCTGAGCCCATTCTTGCCCTTTATCCACTCAGCAGGCAGGGTGGTCTTTTAAAGACCCCAGTCCCGCCCTGCGGCTCCGCTGCTCCAGCCGCCGAGGGAGTCCTGGCTGGGTGTGAGCTAACTCACCTGCAAGCACGCAGAGATGGGCGGATTCCACACCTGCTCCAGGCCGAGCACAGTGCGGGCGCTGCGGGGATGATTCACCAAGGACAGGACTTAGAAGGAAAACCAGATTCCTTAGCCTGACCTTCCAGGACCTGCCTCCCCTGCCCCCGACCTCCGCCCACCCCTTCCCGGGCGCCCCATGGCCTCCAGGTCTCAGCCTCCCTCTGCACAGACAGGCTGAGCTTCCCAGAACAACCTCGCTCGTACACTCCAAGTTCTGGCTGCCTCAGTTCACATGCTGTCTATTATCTTTTTAGACGCACCCCCCCAGCCAAATAAAAGCACCACACACACACTCACCACAGCTTCCCCAGGAAAATTCTCAACTCAGGAGTTTTAGAGGTTATGAGAAAAAGGTTTGGGGGGAATACACCTATAGCTCCACCCTGATTATTTTTTGCGCGATGCATGTTCTTACATTCATTAAAAGAAAGAAATCCAGCAAAGGCGTCATGCTGAATGAGTTGACGTAGGGGCTAGCGGACACATCCTGAGCCGGCAGTGGCCGTTCATTTCCGTGGATCTCCCCTCTGGCTGGAAACCCTTCCACACCCACACTTTCAACAGGATCCTTGTCAATTACCTGGTGAGCTGGGCGGCGTTTTCCTCTTGTGTTTGGTCTTCCACGAATCGGCCTCACTAACCCTGCTTCCAGGCCCTCTGTGGTCCCAGAGACACGGCTCAGGAAAACCTCCTGGCAGAAATGTGACTTGAAGGCCCCTAGCTGGAGACAGGGCCTGGCCCCCTGGGTGCGGGGGCAGTGCAGCCGGCCACGTCTCTTCCTTCGCCGGCCTCTGCCCGCTTCTGAGCCCTGTGCGGGGCAGTTACAAGGCCCCGATAAGAAAGTACAGAAGAGCCAGGCAGACGTTCAGTCACATGCGCTGAACTGTGATGGCGCCACGGGGACATGTGACGGGGAGGGACAGACCTGTCCGGAATCCTGTGGGAGAAAAACAAACCAGCCCAATCACAGAAATACAATTTTAACTGAGTGGAAAACCATGAATCCCAAAATACTGCAGTTAATGAAGAGGTTGCCTGGGTGAGTGTGAGCTACAGACTCTGCAGTGGGCTGGCCCTTCGTTCCCGCAAGGTGACCCGATGGTGAGCCAGCCCTGGGCTCTGTGAGAACCACACCTGGATTCTGGTAGGTCCTAGAGGCAAGCGCGGGTCTGGACTGAGCCTTTGCTCTCAGCACTCTGCTGGATGCTGCCTGCGGGTAGCTGCTGTCTCACTCCAGCTGAGAGGGGGGACTCTGTTTGGAGGAGCCTGGCCTCCCTCCGTGAAGCCATCTGTCCTCTTGCCAAGGGCACAGGTGAGGTCTCTCTGCCCTTTCCCATCCTGAAACTCCATGCAGGACCCCAGGAAGGGCCCCAGGCATTCCAGCTGGGCCCTGAGTTCTGCCTGAACTGGGGGCCCCCCCATCTGCCCCAGGGTCTGGGTCCCCCTCACCCACGTCCCAGGTGGCAGGACCTGGGCTTACCTGGAGGATGGAGGGGTGCTTGTGAACAAGTCCAGTGCTCCACAGTGACCCCAACAAAGACCAGGCTTCAGGGCAGGGCAGTGAGGCCCTCGAGAGCAGCTGGGGACGGGGGTGTGAGGGCAGGGGGAGCTGGAGTCATCCCCAGGGCCCAGGGCCAGCAGTGCTGGGTACCACCCAGTGCGTGGGTGAAAGAGAGATGTATTCAGAGCCAGCTCCGCCGGGGCAAGGGGGCTGCTTCAGGGAAACGGTGCATAGGGGTGTGTGCCTGTGCGTGTGCATGTGCATGTGTGTGTGTGCACGCGCGTGTGTCTCTGAACCACTGAGACTTTCACTTTGGAGCCCGGGAGATGCTGCTGAGGGACCCCCCCCCAGGGGCCCAGCCGCCAACACGGCACCCGTGCTCGGCACCCGCCACAGAGCAGGCACACAAGCCATGTTTGTCCGCTGACGGCCTGGGCCAAAGCCGGGGGCGGTGTGGCAGCCGCCGGGATTCTGGGGTCACTCTTAGTGGCAGAGGCCCTGAAGCCTCGTGACCGTGGGGCTGTGGGGGTGATGGCCTCAGGCAGGTGGGACCTGCTCCCGCCGCTGCAGGACAGGTGGGCTGAGAACCGGGCGTGGATGGAGCTCTGGCCCTAGGTGGGCCCCCTGGGAGGTCTGATCTGTGTGGAAGGGGACCCTCCAAGTCCAGCAGAGTTTGGGTTGAAGCCTTCGTGGGCATGTACCCTCGGTGGTGATTCCGTTCATTTAACGAATATTTATCAAGCTCCGGCCAGATGCCAGGTGCTGGCCTGCAGAGCTGGTGTGAGGCTCGCGGGAGGCGATGCAGTGGCAGGAAGGGCTTGGTGCGTGTCTGCAGGGGAGCCGTGCTGCCTGCAGGCCCCACCCCTCGTGGGAGCCCTGGAGCGGGGGTCTCTGCACCATCAGAGGAGCTCTGCCTGTCTCTCTGCTCTCCTTGGACCCACGTGGCTACAGAGCTGACAGATCTGAGCTGCCCACGTGGGTGCTCTGGGGAGAAAGACCAACGGCAAAGGGCCATACGGCTACCCTGAGGCCTTCCTGCTGTCGACAGCCCGTACGAGGCTGGAACTGACCGCTAATTCTTCCTTTCTCCTTAACTTGCAGCCGGCTTCTTGGGCAAGTGGTAGATTAAACCTCTGGGCCCTCTCAGAGAGCATCAGAGTCGTGAATGACTTTGCCCTGAGCTCAGTGTCTCGTTTCCCCCTGTTCCACTGGCCACTGAGGTTCTCTCTCCCACATTTCTGCCAGGGGACCATCTGCATTTGAAGACCCCCAATGACAGGGAACACCAAGGTGGGCTTAGTAGGGTGGCTGTCCTGCGGCCAGGAGGCTGGGGTGAGGAACCCGCGGGGACTCAGGAGATGCTGGTGCCCCGAGAGGCCGCAGGAGGCAAGCGGAGGGAGGCCCAGGGCTGAACCTCGGGCTCAGCCGCTCACCTGACCAGCCTGAGGGCCAGGGCGCAGGACAGACGGACTCACCACAGACCACCTGACGCCTTGTGCCATCCACGACGGGACCCGTGGCGTGGGGAGGGGGAGGACAGCCTCTCCACGACCCCCGGCACAGCACTCGCGTGGGAGCCTGCTCGGACACGCAGGAGCCACGCAGAAGGCAGAAGGACAAACGGCTGTCATGCCCACCGTGCAAAAAAGGCCAGAGAAGGGGCTTCCCTGGGTGCGTAGTGGTTGGGAGTCCACCTGCCAATGCAGGGGATGCGGGTTCGTGCCCCAGTCCGGGAAGATCCCACGTGCCGTGGAGTGGCTCGGCCCGTGAGCCATGGCCGGCCGCTGAGCCTGCGCGTCCGGAGCCTGTGCTCCGCAGCAGGAGAGGCCACAACAGTGAGAGGCCCGCGTACCGCAAAAAAAAAAAAAAGAAATGTCGAGGGTCCATCCAAGACCCTGGTGTCCACGTGGGCCCGTGTTGACCGAGCCATGGAGCAGATTATCAGCTCCTGAGCGCCTCTAATGAGGAATGAAAGTGACTAAATTGAGTTTCAACAAACAAGCCATTGACCTTAAGAGCAGCAGGGCAAACAGGACCCAGAGGAGGAATTTGCTCTTTGTTCTGCCGGAAGGGACCCACAGAGCTGCTACGGGGAAGCACAATTAAGCATTTCTTTCTTGCAGCCCTGCCCTGTCTTCTATTGGCAAATCCGGTAGGATGAGGGCCAGTTTTCTAACGTAACCAGATTTGCTCCGCAGCTGCTAGAGCCTGGTTCTGCTGATGGCTTCTGAGGCTTTTCTGAGGTCGGTGATG